ATTGACTTTGTTCTTGCTTCAGGCTCTGCCCCACCTTCTTCATCTGAGGTCAAGAAAGAAAATCCAGATCTTGAAGATAAGATTGCAGTTCTGGAAGCTGGTCAATCTGAGATTAAGTCATGGATGGCCAAGCAAGATCAGAAGTCTGAAGACATGGCTCAGTGGATGTCCAAACAAGATCAGAAGAATGAAACCATGGCTAAGTGGATGTCAAAGCAAGAACAGTCCTCCTCTGAGATCACTAATCTGTTGAAGATGATTTTGTCCAAACAAACTTAGTCTATTTTCTTTCTGTTGTTTGTGCACCTATACTTGCTGTTTATCTGATGTTTTGTATCTTTTGATCTATATGAATGAATGACTAAGTGTTTTCCTCTACATGATTTATCTTTTCTGTATTTCCTATTATTTGTCCTTTAAAGTTTTTTTTTACTTTTTTATTATGACAAAAAAGGGGGAGAAAATAGATCTGACTGTTTAAATAAACTCTACCTAAATGAAACTTCAGACATATCAATTATAACTAACGTAAACTCTTAGTGTTTCAGAACGTTTGATAAATCTGACATATTCATTAAAAGAAACTCTGACATAACTCTAAGACTTCCAGATAATATTTTACTTATCAGACTCTGACTCTAAAACATGCAAGATCTAATGGTTGGAACATTCAGGCTCTAATTCTAAAGAGAATACTCATGCAAAAAGGGAAGTTTCTATTACCTCTTAGTATTCAATTCAGGGGGAGATTCATCATCTCAGGGGGAGTTATAATTATTTTCTTTTCTATTGAACAAAATTTCCGATGTTTTTGTCATCATTAAAAATGGGGAGATTGTTAGAACACAGATTGGTTCTTAATAATATCTCTATGTTTTGATGATAATTATTATGAAATTTTGTATTAAAGAATTATATACTCTAAAATTTGCTTGAGAATGTTTGCTGCAGATGTTAAAGTAAATATTACTCCAGAATAAAATTAGAACTGAACATAAGAAATATGCAAGCCTCTGAAGCGTCAGAAGCATCTCTTAGAAGACTCTGGACACTGCCTCTAGAATATTCTGAGTGCTGCCTCCAGAAGAATCTGAAGCAGAAGCTGCAGAAGAATCTGAAGCAAAAGCCAGAAGCATCTGAAGCAATGAAGAATTCTGTATGAAGAGTTTCAAGCACAGTTACTTCAGAAGACTCTAATAGTACTAATGCTGCCAGTACTGAGGATCTGACCCAAAACTCTGCTCTGAACTTATACACGCTGAAAGCACACTTGCTGCAAAGACTCTGATTCAGCAAAACTCTGATGAACATCAGAAGGCTCTGACCAATTTAGACTCTGATGATTCTTGCTGAAAATTGTTGAAGAAGAATTCAAAGATTATGTCCGTTGGAATAACCAAACGACTCTTTCCTTATTTATGCTAGACACAAGAACACAGACAAAAAGAATTTCTCTGTGCATTCTTCTTCTAGGAAAGGTCACATGATGTGAAGACAAAAAGGCTCAGATCTTTTTGGTACACTATTCTCAACGTGAAAAGCTCTTGGATCACTGTGCCTATAAAAGCAAGTCTCCATTCATCTTCTTCAGTTGACGAAACACTTGAAAAGAATTCATTACAAAGCTCTCATAAAATTCATACATTCTTGCTAGAATTATTTCATTGTTCTTAATTTTAAGTAAAAAATCACAGTTGTGATAAGGCTTTATTAGAAGCATTTTTAACACTTGTATTATTATTACATTTGATTGTAAGAGAACCTTAAGAAGATCCAGTTAGGATCAGTAGTTCTTGAGAAGGCTTTGAACAGTTGTTCTTAGTGCTTACTATTGTAATTCGTTGATTAAATAGTGGATTAAGTCCTTGTTTGAGAAAGGCAAATCACTCTAGATAGGGTGGACTGGAGTAGTTGAGTTCAACGAACCAGGATAAAAATCCTTGAGTTTTTATTTCTAAGTTTTATCTTCATACTTATTCAACCCCCCTTCTAAGTATTTTCTCACCTTCAACAGCGATATCAGAAAATAAGAGTCTTTCTACCATGACGTTCGCTTCCTTGTTCGAAAAATTTCAAGAACGTAAAGTAGAACTTAAAAGATTAGAGCAACACGAAATACAAGTAAAAGATTCAAAAGATGTTATATTAAAGACAAAAGTTAAATTACATTATAGCAATCAAAAGGAGAAATCTAGTGATGACGATGATTATCTTATTAAAAATTTTTGAAAAGTTCTTGAGAAAAGAAGGGAAAAAGGAGATCATTCACAAAGAAGCACCAACAAAGAGAGTTACATGTTTTGAATGTGGAAAAAAGGGATATGTCAAGAAAGAATGTCCTGCACTTGAAAAGAAAGAAAATTTCAAAAATCACAAAAAGGAAAAGAAAGCATATGTAGCATGGGATGACAATGAAATAAGTTTATTTTCAGATAAAGATCATGCATGCAAGGCATTGACAGTCTCACATCATTCAAGTGATGAAGGACATGAGATATAACTAATTATTTTATAGGTACTTGAAGGTCATATGTTAGAATTGTCAAATCAAGATTGATCCTTCAAGACACAAGACCATACGATATGGTACTTCTAAAAGTTTTTTTGATTAAAAAGATGTTTTGAAAAAGCATCAATATTGATATCAAATTTGAAATCAAATTCTTATGAAGGAGATAAGTGTCTAATTTTATGCAATTAATTTTCAATTATAACAATATACCCTTCCTATGTTATCACCTTGGTTTATACTTTATTCTACTTTGTCTTCTTTTTTATGATGTCAAAAGGGGGAGAAATAGTAGGTATTGTATTTGTTCTTGTTTATAATTCTTTCAGGAAAGAACGTCTTGAATTGCAAAAGGGGGAGATATACAAGATAGAGGGAGATTCTAATTTCTACTCAACATTTCAAAAGTCACATATTGAAGTAACACATCAATGAACAAGTTAAATTTCAAAGAATGGTTTGTCATCATCAAAAAGGGAGAGAATGTGAAGAAGAGTTCTTCTTGTCCTAGGCTATAATTTTGATGAAGACAAACACATAAACAAAAAGAATAGTCAAAGGTTGAAGACTAGAGCAATCAAGTTCAAACTATCAAAAAGCTTTGAAAAATAAATGGAAGAATCAAAATGGTTGAATATGCATTACAATTCAAGTATATATATATATATATATATATATATATATATATATATATATATATATATATATATATATATATATATATATATATATATATATATATATATATATATATATATATATATATATATATATATATATATATATATATATATATATATATATATATATATATATATATACATATATATATATATATATATATATATATATATATATATATATATATACACATATATATATATACATATATACATATATATATATATATATATATACATATATATATATACATATGTATATAGACATATATATATATATATATATATATATATATATATACATATATACATATGTATATATATATATATATATATATATATATATATATATATATATATATATATATATATATATATATATATATATATATATATATATATACCTTTCATGAATCTTTTAAAATGATTTTTAAATTAACTATTCAAGTTTTGGTAAATTATGGTGTTTAGAATCACCGTAATAGCACTTTAAAATTCCTACATATTGCACAATTTTCTCAAAAATTCTTTTTTTACGTTGCAAGGGGTTAACCGATTAACCATTTACTAGTGTAAATGTGTTAATCGGTTAACACTGAACCAGTGACACTTTTTCATGAAAATTTTGATGTAAACAAGCTATTGAAAGCATTTTTGATCCATGACATCTTTTCATGTATTTGTACACTTTTAGAAAGGATTTAAGGCATTATACAAACCATAGTTTTCAGAATTTAAACTCATCTCTCTTTCATAGCAATTCATAACTTATATTCTCTCATTTTCAAAATCAAGTGTTCTTGAAATAACTGTTTGTTAAAACTTTTGCACATCAATTTTATTACATTTTCAAATAGTTTCAACTACATAAATCATTAAGTACTTATACTACATATTAAAAATTTCCTACTTGTTAGATAAGATCAATTCTAGGAATTGATATACTTTGTTATACAAATTCAAACACTTGTAAAAATTCAGATTGTTGTAATTTTCTTGTTGTCCAGGATTGTTGGAAGCAAGAGAGTGAATAAGAGAGAATTGTTCTCTTGTTGCACTTTGTAAAGATCATAAGAGGATTGTCCTTATTGATTGTGTTGATTATGTTAGAAGATTGTAGGTTATGTATTGGTGGAAGGCTTGTACAAAGATCTGACATAGTGGAAATCTCTCACGAGGAGTGAGGGGATTGGAGTACTCACGGATTGTGAGAGAAATCAGGATATATCTTTGTGTTATTTACTTTTTGCATTTATTTTTCAGCATATTTACTTTCATATCATTTCTAAAAAATAACAAAACTAGTGCTAACACTTCAAATTGATAAAAGCCCAATAAATCTAATCCACTCTCTTAGAGACCGCGCATAAACTAACAAAATGAACCTAAAAGATATTCCATCATGATTTCACTATTATCTGATACCTTTACAAAAAGGTCCAGTTCTACGAAAATTTACACCAATAAAATGGTCAAGCTATTTAACTATTTATATATATGGCATGTTAACATCACTTCCCCGATTCTCTTTTAGTAGTTGCAAAGTTTTTATATGGATCAAGCTGAACCACTTGCCAAATTTTCTGATAAGAAAAAGAAGAAATACATCAGATATTTGAAAACAAGTACATACAATATGCTTCTCTAGTATTATGCAGATGATATTAATGACGAGAAGAGAAGCAAATAAGAATTTCTTCTGAATAGTCATTAAATGTAACTCTCAGCCTCTTGCAGCCATAAGAATATAATGGAAACAGAGGCAGTCTGACTTGCCTGAATAATATGAAATCGCCTTCCGATAAAGACTTTTATTTCAATTTTGCGTGTGCTTTGCACATGTTTTTCCATTTATCCTTTAGGTCTTGTGGAGTACGAAGCCTGTCATTCTTCTCAAACAAGTGAGAACCGAATGCCAAAATTTTCTTCCATGGCAGTTTTGAGTCGCTGAAACCAAATTTCTGGACCCCCTCCTACACAGTGAAAGCAGGCAATTGTTACAACAACAAAAAACGCAAGTAACTGTTAGATGTCGAGCCATAAAGCTCAAGGAGGAAGAAACACATATAAGGATCCAAATCCTTTAACTTTCTAATGCAGTATTAGGAAGTTTCTAAATCAAAAAATTGTTGTGGAAGCAAAAGGAATCCATTTATGAAGCATGATGTTCACATAGATTCATAATGCAATTTGGGTGCTTAGAAAGTCACACTAGTTTCAAGAAGTGATGAAGAGAAGAAAAGTAATACCTGTATCAGCTCTTCCTCTTCAGTTGTCCATGGGATTTTTTTCCGCCTTATCCGAGGGCTTTCTTGAATTTTGCTGTGAATCAAAATATCAATCAAATTAGAATGAGCATAATAGTTCCAGTCCTTCAAAAGTAATTGTTACCATGATGGGGCATTTGGTTCCTGATTTATTTTTGCATTCCCCGGAATCTTGAGTTGGGGACGTCATGTTCTCACATTTGATTTGAAATATAAAAAAAAAGTATTACTGCCCAAAACTAATTTCTGCAGACATATTTAATTAGGATTTCCACAACATCGTTCCTAGAGAACAATTTACCAGCATTGGAGTAGTTTTTGTTTTACCTGAAGACTTTCTTGCCTTCAAGAAAAATAGCATGTTAAATGATTAAAAACAGATTTAGATTAATGGTCACTCTGATCACACAAACTTTCTTATGTCCACCCGGGAAAAAGCTACTAAAAGATTAACAGACCATTCATTCCTTCCCTTCTCTCTCCTTCCGAATCTTGCTCCCGCATTTCCCTCCATCCGGCTATCAAAAGTGTTTGTAAATTGTAATAGACCAAAGAATGGTGTATTAGATACATTACCGAGCATTGAGTTAGCTTTTTGGTACCTCATGAACTGACTGAAGGGTAAGAATGTCCTTCGAAGAATAGAATTGAAAAGTTTAAAGAGTTCAAATTGAAATGTAATGGGAAAGATTCCGTAGATAGAGTAATAAAGGGAGTTGAACCCAGTCCAAGCAGGGCAAAATATGGGAACTTAACTGAGAAAACCTTCGGGTTTTTGTTGTGATGCGTGTGCATCAATGCAACTTTCCTCCTAGTTTGATTTGCTAAATTAGTAACTCGACATGATTTTAGAATAGTGAAAATATGCAATTCCGTCCAAACCCAAAAAGGCAGATTCCTAGGAATAGTTCATAACATTCCCCTGAATGCTCAAAGTCAAACAAATATAGAATTTTGATAGATTTATATGCATACCATTCTCAAAGTCAGGAATGAAAAACCAACCTTGAGCCAAACACCCCCTTAAAGTGATTTATGCAGGTGAAAAACTTTGAATAAACTCATCTTCAATAATTTATTGGAAAATTGGATCGAAATTGCCAAAATCGAAATATTTTTACCAAAAAACTTTGAAATACTGCACATGGTCAGATAAGAACCCCTTAAAAGCTCAATTAAATAAGTTCAATTATCATATATGGTAGGAAAGTGTAGGAACTTACTTCTGAACTTCATGCATACGGAATCTCATGGAGTATCTAGAAATACTATGCTTCTCCCATTCATCTTTAGAAATTTCATCTTTTACAGTTTTGTGAGTCCAAACTGGCTCTACTGTTCCATCCATACTATACTCTGTCATATTCTGCAGAACTTCTTCAACATTACTTTCATTAGCACACACAATCTTTAGCTTCTTACAAGAAAACTTTTCATTGCCACATCCACCTACATGATCAGTTTCCATTTCTCTGTCTTCAACAATTTCACCAGTTAAGCTCTTTGCATTCAGCATTTCACAGTCATCCTCTTCTCTTACATCACCTGCTAACCCAATATTTACATTTTCCTTTTCTCTGAAGGATGATGAGTGAACCGCTGAAATAGGAACTTGTTTCTGACTTCTTTCAAAAGGAAAATTACCAACTTTATTTGCATGCTCACCAGCATGATCTTCTCTATTTTCTTCATTCACTGTTAACGGTGTATGCTCGCACTCATAACTCTTTCTTGAAAAAATACATTCTTGCCTACCTGATTCATGAACATGTTCTACAGCTTCTTTTCTTATACCCTTACTACTAATGAAGATAGCTAATTCTTTCCTTGCCAATGAAGCTATTTTCTTGGCTTCAAGATATTCTGAAATAGTGTGAGAATAAGCACAAAATGGGCAGAAAAAGTTTCCCTTTGCATCCAACTGAGGAGATGCACCCAGGCAGTTTTTATGCACCATCAATGAGCAAGTGGTAGTTTTACAAACCAGTAATTGCCCAGCTTCATTGCACTTCATACAAAGATTTTGGCTGGTCGATTCAGTCATTACTGGCAAATCTTGACCAAAAGTGTGCTGGGAGTTCAGGAATTCATCTTTTTTGGCTATAAGATCAATCTTTTCGTTGTGAAACTCATCACTGTCATTTGATAACTCTGCTCCACAATCATTGACAGTATCAACTACAGCTTTGTCACTAGCAACTGGCTTCCGAGAGGCATTTAAAGATGCAACATTTGGCTCCTTCTGCTGGGTTTGAGATGGATTAGTCATATGCGAAAGCTTATTTGCATTACCATCATGTGTTGGAATGGGCTCAACATGTACATCATCATTTAGTGGGACAGTAACCGCTTCACAAACCAGTAATTGACCACCTTTGCTACACTTTATATCAAGACTTCTCTTTTTGTGCTTTTTCATTACGAGATTAATCTTTTCACCTTGGTACGCAACTGTCTCACCTGGTATCTCTACCCCACAGCCATTACCAGTACCATCTTGAGCTTTAACACCACTAGCTGTCTGCTGGGAACAATTTAAATCTTTAAGTTGCAAATCTGATTCATGTTCAGACCAGGGTTTACCTCCAGAAGTTTTCTGCTGAGGCGTTAAAATTGCCTTAAAGGAAATGTCTAATTCAGCATTAAAGGCTTCATTTTGCCCACTTGGCTGACACAAATTTGAAGCAGAGCACTTAATATGACTAGCCTCTAAGGATCCATCACTCTGAGCTTCACTGTTTTTCTTTTTGGTGTGAACGACATTCTCAGAAATTAGAACTTTTTCAGTCGAGTTTTCTGGCACTTCCTTTTCAAGTCGAGAAACTTGCTTTTCTTTTTTGGAACCAAAATTTGTCAATGCACTACGTTTAATCCTTTTTGTACTTAAGAATCCATCACATTCACTTATACAAGCCTGCTTTTCATTAAAGCAACTCACTAAATGCTCATCAGCTGAGTAAACCCTATTCCTCTTGGAGGATAAACATTTATTATTGGGTAAATCTTCTTTCGAAGATTTGTTGCCATCCCCTAATATTAAGGACACTGAGTTTTCTTTTGCTCCCATGTCTTCTGCATAAGTGGAGTTCCCATCACCCTTCACTGAATGATCATTGCATTTACCATCATTCACATGTACTGTATGAGGCCGATTCATTTGGAATAATCCACTCCTTTCTTTTAAGTGATCAGAAAGTGGTAGTGTTCCTTCCAATATTGATTCTTTCAGCTATTCAGCAAGATGAGAAGCACAAACCAAATAAAAGACATGAATGACACTATACAAATTTTAAAAGGGAGAGGGAAAAGCAACTATTTTTCTTTTTATATTTCTCAAAAGGTAAAAAAATAAATAATAAATAAATAATATTAATAATAAAAGACACTCTCATCACCTTCTCTAAGTGGCATTTCACATTGCCAGCTCTTTTGTATGTGATAAATGGGTTAACATCCCATTTCAATAGCTTTGCTCCAGCAATTTTAAGATTTGATAAAGGCACCTGATTTATATATAACCAGAAAGAAAAGATTTTATCTCAAACTTAATTAGCATAACTGTTAGAATGAGTCACATATTAATATATCTGTTAGTTGTATAGAAACATCAATTAGCTACTAGGAGAGATTGTTCAATCACATCCTTGAGCATTCATAGTACATGATGTAAATACTGTAAGGTGATATATACATCACGTAAATAAAGCTCCTACATCTTATATCAATTAAGGTAATAAACAAAAGATATAATGCCTCTAACACAACAATTCAAGCATAATTGTCAGAAGTATCGTTGCATAAATCCCAGATCAAGCAATTGGTTGAAGCTTTAGTAAATTTACAATTTTGATGATAGCTCTTGGATTCTCAATATTTGTTGTTTTGGTGTTACTAGATTAGTTTATATTTTGGTTTTTGGTAGAAAATCTAACCAGAGTCCATATCACTATTGATGAAAGTTCTCTGTCTCTTCTAAACAAATTTATGATGGCTAATTAACCCAAATGTATGGTGAAGAAAAGATTATGGTCTAATTCGTTATAGCTACATGCTAAATGGAACCATCTATGATATTTTGCATAAAAAAAAGAAAACGCTACTCATTGCAGGAGAGTATGAACTGAATCCATAAGAGATGCCTCTGATTGCAGGTAAGGCCACGATTGCTACTGCTTACAAGAAAAGGCAGGCAAAGCGTTTAAAATTTTATGTTAGAAAAGTATGTTACGAAAATGGTAAAGGTTTCAATTCGTAATCACAGTCTTCGATAAAGCAGATACCCGTGGTCAAATGTGGCCTAAATTGTACTCCTACGTTGTACTCAGAGACATCAAATACCATGATGCTGCGGTCCATATTGTGGCAGCATACTTTTATTTAAAACATTGTCAACTATGAACCCAAATAAGATAGGTCATTTGAAAACAAATGGGAGCATGAGTGACATTTTATTGCTTGTTTGGTTTGGGATTTGCGATTAAATTCTCGCGAACCAATGCCACTTCAACTTCAACATGAATTTACTAAGCTAGGAATTGTTGAATATGCTGGATGTGTGGCGATGCCACTTTAACGTGAATTTTACTAAGCTAGAAATTGTTGAATATGCTACACGCGCGGTGATACGGAAATTGAACGCGGAAACAAACACAAAGACATACTTAATAAGTGTCATTTATGTAAACTTAAAAATACAAATAATGAAGGTTAACAGTCATTTGAAAACTAGACAGACTATGTTTGGATATCATGAAATGAACGGAGCACAATGGAAAGAATCAGAGTGGAGTGGAGCAGATTGGAATGGAGCGGAACAAAAATTTCATTCCATCCTTTGGGTAATTTAGTACGGAGCAAGACAAATTCTCCATTCCACCCAAATCAGAGGGGAAGAAATATGATGGTAAGTGATGGAATGGAATGGAATCCATACCACTCCATTCCGCTCCATCCAATTTTAATTGATCCAAACAATGGAATCTCATTTCATTCCATCAATCCAAACATAGAGTGACATTTTTACGTGGTTTAACAATGGTCCATGCAATTTTCCCTTAAATCAAACATAAAAAGAAGATTGAAGATTTTAAATTGTTTACCTCATGCAATATTTCTCGAAGAACATCTTCACAAGATCCCGAAGAATCAACTTCAACTGAAGAATCCAATATTGAAGAAGAAAACGAAGCATAAAGTTCCTCCAAACACCTCAAAGCAACCAATTCTTTTGTATTTTCACAAAAATCATCCTGCCTTACCGGTGCAGCATCAACCAAACCTAGAAAAGAGACCAATCATGAATTTATTTATCCAAACTGAAAAAAAAAAAAAAAGTTAAAATTAAGAAAATAAATGGATTGCATAGAACCTTGTAGAGTGGATAAGGGAATTTCTTTGAAACCTGCTAGGGATTCCATTATCCAATGCCACGGAAGTGCTAAAAATGGTTCATCTTTAGTACCGTTCATGAGTGAGTCTAACCTCAATGGTTTTGAATTGCGTTGTTTGAGAATCGTATTCAACGCATGGAAAGCGTGTTCATTAAGCGATTGAATGAGATTAACGGAACGCGATTTTGAAAGTCTGATTCAGCTTGGTTCTAGTCTGGAGCCTCTTGAATTCATTCTAAATTGTAAAATTGATTTGGATATAATGGATTTTGTTTCTAAAATTATCATAATTTAAAATTATAATTTATAACTTTTGAGTTTTTTAATTCCAAACATAAATTTATTATTAATTAAAATAATTTTTTAAAATTAATTTATTCAAAATCAATTAATCTGGCATAACCAAACACAAGTTTATGAGAATTCAAATGCAACCGGATTTAATTTGTCAACCCTACATTTGTATTTGACATCCCCCAAACCTAATGAATATTATATTAGTCTTGAAATATTTTTCACTTTTTTCTTAAATTCACCAAACATCGATGTGATTTAGTCTTAAATATTTTTCACTTTTTTCTTAAATTCACCAAACATCGATGTGAATTTCAAATTCTTTGGGCGATATTAGAAATTTTGTTTTTAATCTTGAAAATTTTGAAATCATTATGTATTTTATCAAAAATTGTAAAATTTGCGTGAAAATCAGTTGAATTTGTATTGTGAATTTCAGAATTTTCGGTATTTTTTAAAACATATTTTCCTAAAATTTCACAATTTGCGTACATTTCATATGCATTTCCTCTGAAATTTCAGAATTTTTTACAGTTAAAAAAATGGTTTTCCCTTGAAATTTTCGAATTTTCGATGAAATTATGGAAATTTCAAAATTTATGAAATTTAACTGTTTTTTTTCTTTGTTTTTGCAGTGAAATATAGGGGAAGGAACGACATTAATGCATGCAGAGTCACGTATAGAGCGGCAGGCCAGGATAGGGTTGTTGAGGCTGAGTCTTCTCAGCTACGGGCGGAACGAGTGGTTCCAATTGGTTCACACCGGAAATAATTGGTTGAGCATGGGCAATTCTGCACACCCCGTAGCATCTGACGTCGAGCGGCGAGATCAGGCGAGCAGCCCTGAGATGATGTTGAGGTCCTTCATGCCCAGGAGGTGCATGTTCAAGACATTCATGACCCATCAGTCGAGACAGATGCGACACGTGTTGCTGTTGAGGTTGTTGTTGAGGTGGCAGGTGGGGTAGTCCAACCAGATGCCCTTTTGCATATGAGGTGATCCAGCCAGATGTCGTTGTTGCTGATGAGGTGATTGCCATAAATCTGATTTCATCTGCTACTGCTGACATAGAGGTTACGGCTCCGTCGACGGAGCCGTCTGTTCACGCTGATAGAGCATTCCTAAGAGGACCCATTAACCGGTCGGTGCTTACCGAGTATGCTGACCATGTGGCATACCGACTATGGCAGGGAGAAGTATATATATTTTATGTTTAACTTTAATTTATTTATTATTGTTCTATGAAAGCTAACTACTAATTTTTTAATTTTTGTTTGTTACAGGATCGTCCCACGCTGAAGGTGACCTCACATGGTTTAAAGATGAAAAAATTCCTTAATTGTACATGATTTTGATCTCCTCGCATTTGCCGACTGCTCACTTACCATGCTCAACACTTCACTTCTTACTACTTTTGTTAAGCGATGGCACAAGGAAACATTCCTTTCAACTGTCGTTTGGGGAGATGACTATCACTCTGGATGATGTCTCCTCATTGTTCCATCTCCCCATCGCCGACAAATTCTTCATGGCTTCTGTTATTAGCTCGTCGCTTGCATATTTAACTGTTGTACGAGATTTGGGAGTTTCTGATGAGAACGTACTGGAGGAGTTTGACTTTAACAGGGGCGATCACCTTTGTATGTCTTGACTTCAGGAAAGGTACTAGGAGCTTGTTGCAGCACAGATATATGAGGTTACCGCTAAGGTGTACATGTTACATCTAGTAGCATGTACTCTCTTTGTAGACAAGTTAGGTGTTTATATCGGCGCCCGATACATGTGGTTGTTCAGTAGTCTTGACGATACCAATTTGGCTTGGGGGTGCATTGCGTTGATCATCCTATATTCAGCACTTGGAGTTGCGACAACATTTGAGACCAGACAACTTATTAGTTATTTGAGTATATTACAGGCATACTTGAAATTATTATTTGTTGTTTAGTTTTTATTTTATTGTTACGAATAACATCTCTTAATTATTATTTGTTATGTCTGTGCTCTAATATCAGTGTTGGATATACAAGCATGTCCCCACTATATGTGATAGGAAAGTGCAGCATTCCCTTGTAGGGGCTCCACGGTCGGGGAGATGGAAGGTCGGGCAGGCACATCCCAGTGGTGTTGTGGAGTACATCAAGGGGCTTGATGTGCTGACTGTATATGATGTCATCTAGAAACCATACACTGATAACAAAATTCAAGCATGAGTTTGATGACTCTTCTTTATATTATGGTTATATATGGTGGGAGACTTTAGTCGCTAGAGACTTGCCCGAGAGGTATTTGCAACAATATGGTTATGTCTAAGGCATACCACGACCAGTTTCGGATATTCCATTTGCCGACATTGACAGGTGGTTTTAGAGTAACATCATCAGCTTTGGTCGTGCCATTAGAGATCGTGTAGTGAAGGTTCAACATGACCTGTAGTGTGAGGATGGTTACTTGGAGTGGTACCTCACTGTATCACACCCTCTCATCATCCCACCTGTTGAGCATACAGATGATGTTAGACCTTCCAATGATTAGGTACCTCTCGATGACATGACACCACCGACGTCACCTCCAGCTGATGTCGATGACCAGCAGTGCCACCAGATGATTGCAGTTATTATGGATAACCTCATGGATTTGGTAAACTCAGATGATAAGGTTTTTATTGGTTTATCTCAGGCTGCACATATAGCCTGTGGGGGACCTATTTAGACATTATTGTTAATTTTATGTATTATTTGTATATTACGTGTAACATTACTCAGACATTTGCACATAACTTTTTATTAGATAATATTTTGGATCTTCCATTGATGCAAGATGAACATAATTTAACATTTGATAAAGGATTAAATAAATTAAATATAGGTTAAGAAAATGATAATAAATAAGAAAACCTAAAAATTACTATATGATTCTTGACATTTCAACATCTTAATTATGTCGCCGACAGATCTTGAAATCTTTGCATCTAACTCGATCGGTCCCTTTGTTAACCTATGGCGAAATGATCTCCACATAACCTTCACATCTTCATTGGTAATTATTGCGGTTAAAATAGGATATCAAATTATTAATTAATTTGAATCGCAAATCTTTAATTCACAACCGATCTTTGATTTATCCGAAGGAAAAGGTCAAAAGAAGGAAAACCTAATTTTTGCATCGTAAACAATGGGGGGAAAGCTCTATGTAAGGGGTTGGTTAAGTTTAGGGAAGGTACTAGCACCCTAAACTTTTATAGTACTCTACAGGAACCTTTTGTTTATTGTTTACAATTTTGCTTTATTATTTGCTTTAGGGTATATGTGTTAAGGGTTAAGAGTGATTGAAAGACCTAAGGGTTAATCCTATGTTTACTCGGCAAGATTCGCATCTTGTGCCTACGTATCCTGGGTAGGGGATGAAATCAGAGAATCGTAGCTCCCCTCGAAAGGGATGTTAGAAACGTCTTGACTGTGGTCAAGGTTTCAATGGGGAGTAAGCGTTCTTAAGGAAGCGCTTACGTGGAGTGCGGCGACTCCTATTTCTACGTTGAACATAGTTGAATTGAAATTAGGGTTAAAGAGGTATTCCACAGCGGAAAACCCTAAAACGGAGTGCGGCGACTCTTTGACCTAATGCTAGGGTAAAGGGCATTTTTGTCCACGGCGGGACACCTAGGCGAATTAGGGTTTGAAAACGTCAAAGGTTAGGGTTATTGACTCGGCGGTCAAATTGTTAGACCTAATCCTTCGGAAGGTTTAACGGTAAGTAATGTTGATGATAAGTTATTACATGGAGATTAAAATAGAAGAAAATATGAAAGCAGTAAAGAAAATTGCAATGCGACGATTACTCGCGTAAATTACAACCACGAAAAAAACAAAAGCAAATGACGGAATATGAGCGACGATAGTTGTTGCACCCCAAAATTTGACCAACCTTTTCAGTGATTTGACTTGTGTTTCGTTTCATTCGCATCTGCATATCATTTATCGCATACAGTGCATTTTGTCGGTCGGAGTGGATTATCGGGATTACAGCCTTTTTCTCGCGTTTCAGGCGATTTAAACCAGTTTAAATAAGGAGATTTATTTCGGAATCAAGTGGAGTTTGTTCTCATTTTGTTGGTCCGGTCCGTGCTGGTATTTTCAGCAACATTTTGGTGCTCGCCTGTTTTTCATGACATTTTTATGGCTATTATTTAGTTATGTAGATTTTTTTTTTAAAAATAGAAATAGTTTTTAATGATTTAGATTTTTATTAATATAGGTTTTATTAGTTTTAAATAATTTTTAGAAAATAGAGATTTAAATAGATTTGATTTTTCTTATTAATTATTTTATTTTTAGATTTTTATTTTATTAGATTTATTTTCTCTTATTTATTTAATAGTTTTTTAAATAGGTTTTTATTTTAGAATTTAGATAATTTAATATAGGTTTTATTTATTTTTTAGAATATTTTGTTTTCGAAGCTAGTTTTTTTAATTAGAATTTATTTGTTTTATTTAAATAGAAATTGGTTTTTATCATTTAAAAATAGGAATAGATTTTTATTTTTTTATTTTTAAATAGAATTATCCTTTTTTAGGTTTTATTAGGATTTTAATTAATTAGCTTTTACTAATTTAAATTTTTTTTTAGTTTAAATTAATTATAGTTTTCATTTAATTTAGATTATTAGTTAGATTAATTTGTTAATTAATATTAAAATTGTTATTAGTTTAATTAGGATTTATTTTATTTTTTAGAATTAATTTGTTCTTAATTAAACCAGCTTTTATTTATTAGTTATTTAAGTT